GTGGTTAGCAGTTGTCCAGTCGTGCACCGGCGCACAAGCACGTCAAGGAAGGGCAGTTGGTTGTTTGGTTCTGCTTCCATCGTAAATTGGATATCCGGGTCAACCGAGTTGAGTAGTTCCTTAAGATGCTCAATGTCAGTTGTTTTGGCAACGACGAAGGTGACATTGCGGGCCCAGGACTTCGGTTGATACCTGGTGAACACCAAGTGCTCTATCCGTTAAAGAATTATTTCAACGATTAGGCCTGATATGAGGAGCCCATAGGAGTGCCCTTTATTTGTTCGTACATCTGCCCACCAAAGGTGGAATAGGTCTTGAGGCAGTATCGCAGAAGATCGAGCAGGTGTTCAGACTTCAGGAGTTTGTCTCTATCCTCATAACGCTCTGCCAGTAGTTGGTCCACAACGTCTATCGCTAGTTGCTGTGGAATGGAGGTGAAGAAGGAAGCGACATCAAAGGATACCATGGACTCGTCTAACTCTAACTTCAGATGTTTTATGCGTTTGAGGAATTGATTCGCATATGCTTCTATTGTTGGCGAGCCTTCGGCCAAAACTTAAGACGACCGAACATCCATTTGGCCTACGACTTCTCGTTCGGATTCTCCAAACAGTCCATATTTAAGACGGAACAGAAAAAGTCTATGAAAAGGGCCACTGCATGAGCAAGAGGAGGGCGGGGACGAGAACCAAAAATTAAAAGAAGACAAGGACAAGTAATTGGAATGAAGCGAAGAAGATTAGAAGGTTAAGGAAAATCCATGTAATGGACTGGAGGATTTCGAAAGGATAAAAGGCAAGAGAAAAAAACAAGTTAACGTTGGCTGGACATGAAAAGAGTGATAAGAAGAGAAGGCTGGAATCTGGATTGGGTCAGTATCGGAGCACGACCTGTTGAGATAACTTTGTTTTCATGTCACGTTACTTCGAAATGCCTTTCAGGCAACGGCAGTGTCAAGGACCTCACTGAACTGTCAGTAGACTGGGGATCGTGCCATACGCGATTTATGGTAAAGAAAGCTTTACGGGTGGGGAGGGGCACCACGCCAGACTGAAAGCTGACTGTGGTGGGGGCGTGAATGAGCCTTTAACGATAGCCGACTTGCGAAGCGTCCGCCTCACCATCTCTCTCCTCATCCACCCGAACACTGGGTGAGCTCGGAAACAGTGGCTGCCAAAGCTGAAAAACCAGTCTGCGTATGCCACACACACGTGACCTGGTTCCACACAAAACGCCAGCTCTTATGGTTTTCTGACGGGTAAGTGGAGCCCTTCATCCTACGGTTACCGCCTTTCATCCCGAGGGGTAGACAGCCCAAACTAGAGACGCCTACGAGACAAACACGAAAGGCCGTATGTTCACTGGTATGCGTAACTTAAACGCAAAGCGGTGAAACCCCACCCTAAATCCACCTGGACATGGTACATGTCACCTTTCATCCGGCCTCTTCAAACAGCCCAGATTTAACGCAAAAAGTTTGTGTAAATGGCAACTGCGAAGATAAGACGAGGGCAGGGGGTGACGATTAGGAAGTAGACGGATACTCAAGTGATAGGGTAAAAGACAAGAGGAAAAGTGAGGGAGTATGACGGGAGTTAGAATGGAAGACGCGGAAAAAGAGGATGAAAAGTTCAATGGCCATACTCGTTGCAAGACTAATTAGGCGGACTAATTAGCCATGCGGGGAGCGCACAGGTTGGCCGGGCAATCAATTTACGCGATGAAATTTCAGCGATTAACAACTCGAATGTCGGTCGTCGAACCGTCATCACACCAAGTGCAACAATCCATGATGAAGGCGAGGAGTCGTGAATTTTCATAATTATGTGGTAGCACGGCAACTGCATGCTATAACTATTGCAGCGCCTTGTGCACGAACTACTCATATCTGCGTCAGTGCGTCAGATGGTTGAGCCATCATCACGCCAACATCCAACGCACGTGATGAAATTGCAGCAATTATCGACTCGAATGTCGGCCATCGAGCAGTGATCACACCAAGTGCGACGATCCCGGATGAAGGGGGAGCCGTGAATGTTCATAGGTATGCGGTAGCATGGCTACGGCATCCTATAAATACCGCAGCCCCTTGTGCAGCAACCACCCGTTTCTGCTTTTTTGTCTCTGATGATGGATTCGAGTAGGAATCCGAAACGTCAGGCTAATAAAGTTCTTGTCCTGGCGATCGTGTCTCCTTCTTCGTATCTGCTGTTTTGCCCGGTGATGGGTTCGAGCAGGAGCCTGAATCACCAGGTGAATAAAGCTCTTGTTCCATCTCTGTTGTCTCCCCTTCGTGGGTGGGGATGAATTAAAATAAAGAGTGGATGGCGTTATAGTACGACCGGCTGAGATCACGCAGTCATTAAAGCTATGCACCTCAGGTGGGGCTCGGGAACACTGTTCTGATTGGTCGATAAATCACCACTTTTGTGCTATTATCGATTCTAACAGGCGTAGTACTACATGAGGATACTTCCCATTCGAGGTGCTCGCGGACTACTGTGATTATGATTCATGGTTACGTTAACGTCCAGGTGTTTGGGTTAGGATTTAAGGTTTGGGGTTAGGGTTTAGGGTTAAGGCTTAGGTTTCGGGTTTTATGCTTCAGTGTTTATGGTTAGGGAGCCATTCAGCAGTCATTTCCTCCAACTTTCATCTACGGCTTACGTCTAGGTGGACCTATTCTTAGGCTGTTCCTTTTCCATGACCTTGGCGGGCCAATCACCCCTGTTCTTTGTGGAATTGATTTCACTGATTGCCTACGCCGAAGTTTGGGTTTACGCGGTGCTTACGCTGATCTTTATTACCATCTAAAAAAACCAGCATATTTACATATAGCAACTGCGTTTTCCCTCGAATTTTGGCACATTTCTCACTGGTTTTCCCGCAGTTCGACCCATACTGCCCTTTTTACCGCGGTTACCATTTTGGACGAGTCATGTTTTTCCACACTTGCCGGAGAGACCGCCTGTCGTTCTCGGAAGTAGGATGCACAAACCAGAGAGCTTTGTGAGACAAATACGAAGAGTAATATATTTGATTCGAGGGAAGGGGCTGAAAAACGCGATGATGAGGAAAGGTCAGCGAACTTCCCGGTAAGATGTAATTACGAGGCCTCGCCTGGTGGACACAGTACTGTTGGGATTGGGGTTAAGATTTAGGATTGGGGGAACTGTTTCTCAACCACTCATAGTACAGCGGCGTATTCCCAACTAGATTTTCTTTTGCATCCAATTACCTGACCTCACCGCCTTTGCATTCTCCGACCCCAACTGTAAGTACCGCTTTAACCACCAGTCCCGTATTACAGTTGGCTGGTGTTTGTTTTCCGCAGGTGCGCCTGTATAACCATATCTGACCGTTCCACCGACTGGGAATGCGAGCTGCACTGAGTTTATCCGTCGCAATAACCTAAACTACCCGACGAAGTCAAAACAGTAGACGCCAAAAGGATTTTGTGGAGAGTTGATAAACCAAGAAATGGAAAATCTATAGCGGCCACCGAATATATCGAGAATAAATCTACCTACAGCGGCAAAATGTGCCAAGCAGTCTCTTGTTTGTACATCATTTTGTTTTTATGAAAATTAATTCCAGTAGAAAATGCATTATCCAAATGCTGCAGATGATTTGATTGCTCAGTGGCCATCATATCATTTGTGGAGACCAACAACTAATTTCAAATCATACACTCTTGAAACGCGATCCACTGAGGTTGGCTCCTAGAACATGCACCTCCTCTATAATTGTTGTGTATAGCAAGAAGTCTCCTTGAATTGCAAATATATGATCTTAAAGCATAACATTTGGTCACGAAAGTCGTGAAAATACGGGACATTTAGCACAGCTTTTATATTCGATGCGGTGTATTGCCTAGATGCCGTCGCGAAGCTGAATAGCAGGAGACAAATTGCAAGTGATTTCGTATGCTGTAGTTAAATGATTACTAATCTGGCTTTAAACCGGGCTTCAATATCTACTACTCTGATCTAAATCCCTCCTGAAACGATCAACCCTTTTCCACTGATTTCTGACAGATCCGCTCATATCATGTCGTAATGTTAGAATATGAAGGTGCACGTGTTCATCTTGAAAAACCACATCAGTTATAGTTGAAACTCCAATAAAATGGCTTAGGGTTAGGTGTCAGGATTGAGGATTGGGGTCAGGGGTTATGGTTGGGAGTTAAGGGTTAGGGTTAGGGGTTAGGGCAACTATTTCTGAACCACTTAACATACAACCGCGCATTCCCAAATAGCTATTTTTCTGCATACAACTACTTGACCTCCTCGCCTGTGCGTTCCCCGTCCCCACCTGTAAAAACCCCTATTACCACCGGTTCCGTATTTCAGGCGGTTGGGATTTGCTTATCTCAGGTGCGGCCACATAACCACCTATGACCGAATTTCCTAGGAGAGCGACAGATGAGGAAGGAATGGAGGAGAAAGTAAGGCAGGGAGGAGAACGTGCCAAAGAAATGGAAAATTAAGGAGACGCCTTTTGGCGACAAACACGGATTCCCTTCTACCTTCCTACTGAACCCAGTGCCACTAACTGGAAGTATTTTGTTCACAGACTGCTGCAGGACTGATGCCCGCCCTGCGGACTGTATCGGTCTCGTCTTTCCCGGCCAGCTGCAACCAAGTTGCTCACACCACACCGTCTGCTGAGGCGACAGACCAACCCTGCAGGAAATACCGGCCGCCAGAGATGGACGGTAGGCCTAAAAGGTTAGAGGCCAATGCAGACGGTGGGGGGGGGGGGGGGGGGGGAAGAGGATAGGAAGACGCCCAACAGACAGCGTGAGAGCGTCCTGGGGGGCCAACGCATGCTGGCTCCCAGGAATTGACTAACTGGTGGGCATTTCGCTTTAGCCTGCGGTCGTGTCCATGTACGCCGGCCCAAGATAAACATTAGACGCTTCGGTGGAAGCCTCGACTATACAGGAGCAAGTACGTGTAGCCAGCAGGCGAACATCCAGTGGTGGACTGAGTGACGTTCACCCACCCCCTCTCTGCTGAGGCTGAACCAGTCGGGAGCGAATCCCAAATAGATCACTGTGAAAGTACCACGTGCATATTTGCTCGTGGTGCACTTGCAACCAAGGTTGTGTACTGAAATTGCGCCAGACAGACAGGACTACCTGCTATCGACCAAATCTGGCTGAAATACACAGGGTGTGGACGCCATCTGCGGTTTTGGGCACTTTTATTCTCTTGCTTCTGGTGAGAAGTCGGAGTATGTCAACACTATGACTGGCTAGTTAATCACACTCGGGTACGATGTGGTTATGTAGCCCCACGCGATGGACACAATGCTGTTTGGGTTAGGGTTATGGTTAGGAGCTAGAGTTAGGAGTTGTGGTAACTTTTTCTCAACCACTCAAAGTACAACCACGAATTCACAATAGCTTTTTATGCATACAACTATTTAAGCTTGTCGCTTGTACGCTCCTCGGCTCCACCT